CTGAAGCATGTGGTGGCGCACTACGAGGTCTTTAAACTTCCCAATCGTGATAAGCCGTTTATAGTCACCACGGATGCCAGCCAACATGGCATTGGCGTCGTGCTTGCGCAGCAGGAGGGGCCAAAGTTGAGGCCTGTTGAGTACATGTCCAAGAAAATGTCGTCTCAGAAGTTGGCTAAGTCCACTTGTTAGAAGGAACTCTATGCGGTTTACAAGGCTCTGACCCATTGGGGGCACTATCTGCGGTTTACAAGGCTCTGACCCATTGGGGGCACTATCTCCTTGGGAGGTTCTTCATCCTCGGGAATGATCATCAGACCCTGAGATGGATGAGAACTCAGCCTGCACTCTCTAACGCTCTCAAGCGTTGGATCGAAGTCATTGAGCAGTATGACTTTCACCCGCAGTATCTGAAAGGGGAGTACAACAAGGTTGTTGATGCCTTGTCGAGTAGACCTGATTTCTCAGGTGCGCTGATTATTGGGTTCGATCTTGCGGAGAATGTTACTCTATCCTTGGTGGAAGCCTATCGTGAGGATCCGTTCATGTCTGAGATCATCCGCCGACTCGAAGCGAAGGACAAAGTGACTTCTGCCAAGTTTGAGTTCAACAGCTCGTTGTTCCTCGAGAAAGCTGGGAATAAACGTTTGTGTGTTCCTAATAGAAAGTCTTTGCGTAGTTTATTTTTAAGCGAATGTCATGATGCCACCGGCCATTTTGGGTACAAAAAGACCACAGTTAATCTGCTGCAGCGGTTCTGGTGGCCCACAATGATGCGAGACGCCCAGCTGTACGTGGAGACTTAAGTCTGTCAAAGGGACAAGCCACGTACGCAGGCTCCTCTTGGGCTCCTGAAGCCCCTTCCGATTCCGGAAAGGCCTGGTGAGAGCTTGTCCATGGACTTCATGGATACACTGGTCACCAGCAAAAGTGGAATGAGATATATCTTCGTTATCATGGATAGATTTAGTAAGTATGCTAGGTTAGTAGCAATGCCGGAAACAGCAAGGACGGAGTATGTGATCAGAATGTTCAAAGAGAACTGGGTCAGGGATTTTGGTTTACTGAAGTCAAGTATTAGTGACAGGGATGTCCGATTTACCAACGAATTGTGGAAGGCCGCTGCTGCAGAGCAGGGAACCCAATTGCAGATGACTTTTGGGAATCACCCAGAGGCCAACGGCCAGGCCGAGCAACTGAATCGCGCTTTACAACACCTGTTGAGGCATTACATCAAGCCTAACCAGGTGGACTGGGATGAGAAGCTTGCTCTCATCGCCAGTCTGTACAACAATGCTGTACACAGCGCCACCGGGGTGAGCCCAAACAGTTTGCTATTGACTTTCAAGCCTAGATTACCCTTAGATTTTCTCCTTCCTGAGAATCAGTCAACTGCTGCACCAGGTACTTTAGAATTTGCTTACCGGTACGAACAGAAGATGCAGCAGGCTGTAGAACAGATGCAGAAGGCACAAGCGGCTATGATAGAATCTGCGAACAAACACCGCCGTGAGTCTTCATTTCAG